TAAAAACATGAGTTAGAAATCATGCCATTTTGAGCTAGAGAGCATAATCCCGATAAATTTTCCAAAGAGTTCAGGAAATTCATGAGTTTGTCCATTTCTTTTTTGATTGAGTCATTCTAATTCAACATGATAAGCCTGCCTTTTTTAGTAACCTTCTTTATTTCCATCAGAGTCGGGAGTTTTCCGCAGAGTTTCCAGCATTTTTCTTTGAAGTGTCATTTCTTCTTGCAATAGTTGCACCATAGATCCAATTTGGAATAAGGTTGTTTCCCTTATTTAAGGAAAGAGTCCGTGGTAGTAAATCCCTTATCTTAAGGTGTGATATGCAAATATTTCACTGTAGTATCCAGCATTATCATCCTCCTTCATTCTTCGGCTCGCATGAGTGATGAGAGAAAAAATCCCATTAACTGATGATATGCTTTCTTTGTCTAAGATTTGAATATGAACTTAACTAAAGTCATTATTGAGCCTTGCAAGAAACTCAAATATCTTTTCTTTCTACAAATTGCTAGAAAATTATCACATCATCGCAACATGTCATCTTACGATCTTGATAATAATCTAGTTCAAGACAATAAATCTTTATTTTATTTAAGTATTCAACAACAAAAATGTTACTTTGCTTGGTTGTTGAAATCTTAATTTTAATCTCATAAATGAGAGCAACATCCTTCACTTTTAAGTATGCTAATTTGACTATGTCCCAAACTTCATTTGCGATTAAAAGACCCATTGATTTCAGGCATCATGATATTCCATAATCATGTCATGATCATAAAATTTGTTTTATCCCAAAGTACAAATTTTGGGTCTTTAAGACCCAGAAGAGAATCTGCAAGAAGATAGATTTTTCCCTTTACTTCAAAAAGGTCTTCATAATTTGAGAACCTTTTAGATAATTTCCCTCATTCAGACAATATAAGACTTGTAACCTCTAGAATTCTTATTTAGTCCGATTTTCACAATTCATGATTGTCGAGTCTTTAAGCGGTTGTTTGGTTGGCTAAAAAAAGAATACAATATAAAAGGAATATAGTGTAAAAAACATATTTTGGAGTTGTTTTGATGAATATAAAGTAAATGCAGATGCATTATTTTTTTTATTTAGCTTGAAGTAAAATGAATGTAGTGTAAAGTCCAAAGATGGTGGTGGCCAACCGCGATTGGTGGTGAATGGCGGCGGTGATGGTCGGCGGCAAGTGGTGGCGACCGACAGTGGAAACAGGCGATGGGCGGCAGTGGCTGGCGGTAGTGGAAGTTGGCGGCAGGTGGCGGCAACCACCGATTGCGATGGCCGGCAGTGGGTGGGTGGCGTGGTAGTGGTGGCTAGAGGCGACAATTGACGACGGATGGCAGTGTGGTGATGGTGGTTGGAGGCAACAACGAATGGCGGACGGCTGCGGTGGTGGTGGAGGCTGATGGCGGGTGGCAACAGTGGTGGCCGGCATAGGGTGGGTTGCAGGCGGAGGCGGCGGTCGACGATGGTAGGAGGCAGTGGGTGGTGGTGGTCAAGCAAGCCTATTTGCGGTATAAATGATTCTTGCTCAAAATTAAGCGAGTTTAGTCTACCTCAAAAATAAACTAAAATGTGTTATACTACAAGTACTTTATTTTGCATTCATTTTTCATTCAACCAAAAACAATATTATCAAAACCTCTGCATCTGAAATATTTTACAACCATTTTACTTCCAACCAAACAAACCCAAAAAGGAAAGTCAAAGAGACCAAAAAAGAAGGAATAATCTTGACAAGAAGAAAGACGAAAGAAGAAAATAACATAGATTAGAAGATGAAAACCTTAACCTTGCTCTGAAATCATATCAAAAAATACAAAAGTAGAAAAAAAACTATTTTGAAGATTTTGTACGAAATGTAGAAACATTATAAACTTCTCTGAAAGGCTTATGATGGAAATCAATCAAAGCTATTTACAAAAAAGGAAAAAAATTCTAAAGCAAGGTTGGCGGCTAGAATAGGAAGAGGGGGCATACGAATTACAATCTAAAGACCATAAGATGATCGATCTAATAGTTAGAACTCTTAATCCATGTACAAAGAATCCCTAATTTAATTGGTTTGCATGTAGGTCCCATGATCCTTCAACAAGCTTCAAGGGGGTCAAATCACTAAATTAATTATTTCAATATTATCAAGCCTAATCAATCATCTAAAGGATATTGCTTCTGACTTCAATAAAAGCTCTAGCAAGTACCATCAAGGATAGGGCAAAGTGGAATTTAAAGGAAAATTCATGAAAATTATAGGCAATCCAAAGACAGCTGCAAGAAGTTCAAGCTTTATCCTTTGCGCTTATGGAATTGAAGAAGCCATATCATTGATGAAAGATGGTGTCGTACCAGATAAGGCGAGGGGGAAATAATGAAATGAGAAAAGAAAGACTTCAGAAAACCAAAATTTAACAGTAACAAGGCGGTCAGTAACAAGGCGGTTAGATTTGAACAAAACACTCCCATCACATGTTGATAAGCAAACCCCCAGAAAGCACAACTAGCACTTTTCAGATACCTTTTTCAGTCCTAACCTTTTTTGTAATGCCCAAGAAGAAAGATCTTAGGAGGCAAGAAAAGCAAGTTCTAAATCATTGTCTTATTACAACTACTGCCATTAAATAATATGATGCATACAATAATTGGCCACAAAAAATATTGAGCAGGCAGTAGACAATAAATATTAAGTAGAACTACGTTCCATTGAAGGTCATAAATAAAAAATTCTTTTTTATGGTAAAAGATCAGATATCTAGTAGTACTAGATCAAGTTCAAAGAGAGACCAACTCCACAAAGCGAGTACCGTACCATGTCATTACTCATTAAGTGTTAGTTTGTTCATATATTAGAATGTATTCTACGTTAGCTGTGAAAACAACAAGATTCCTAAGTATTTCTGTTCCAACAGACAATAATACCATTTGGAAAGACGCTTTTGTAATGCAAGGGTAAAAAATGGCTTATAAATATCCAAATAGTGGCTCAACTTTTTATGAGGCAATATTTTCCTATTAGGCTTTATAGAAACAATTGAAAAAAACTTCAACATGGAATTCAAAAGATTCAGCTTAGTATAGGGTGTATTAGATTTTTATGTTCAATTTGCCGCTCAAATTTCCTAACAAATAAAGCCATGAAGTGTCTAATGAGAATTTCATTATACACCTCATTAAGTAGTATATCTAAGATCATCAAAGATCAATTATGCGGTCCAATCTAAGTTTTGAATGGTGGTCCGCTGCAACTACAAATACCAGGATGACAAACAAATAGAAATTAGATATGGATAACAAAGAAAAGCAGCAGTAAATTTCACATTACAATTAAAAAATAATAATTTGAAAACCGCGGACATAAACTCCAAGAGTCCTGTATGAAATCATCAACAAAAGATGGCAGGCTGTTACTCTATAACAAAACGTTACTCTATAACAAAACGTTTTGAACTCATTCGAGTGCCAAACTTAAACTGATTTAACAGCAAAAGTAACAAAAAAATGACTAGAAACCATGACACCACAATGATTTTAAATCATCAGATCCATCCAATAATCCATCAATTGCTGACTTCACTGCGCAGAATGCTAGACCTGAAGTTCACTTCAAACCATATTAATAAGATGAGTCGTGCATAAACTCAATGAGGATAGCTAATGTCAGCCAGTAACCTCAGCATTGCATATCCTTCAGAAAGATAGGATAAGAATCATAAGATATATATATATATATATATATATATATATATATATATATATACACACACAGACATAAAATAAAAAGACTAAAAAATCTAATGGTAAAATTAAAAAATAAAATAAGAAAATAATTACAATTAAGTTAATTAAAGTAAACTAAATAAAAACTATTAAAAAATAATTCCTATTTTCAGATTTTTTTTAGAATACATCTATAATTTATAAAATTTAGAAAAGATGTGATTTTAATATAATATAAGTACATGAATAAAGCAAAGGTAGAGCATACTTTAAAATAAAAAGTCATTTTAATAGTCATATTTAATTTATTATTACTTTTGAATAATATAACTATTATAATATGATGAACTTTGTAATTATGACTTATTAATATTAATGTAACTCATGTTTAAGTTTTTATTAAGTTAATATGTAGACTTTTTTCTAGCATGAATTACAAAAATAGTTCAATTTTATTTATTTTATTAAATTAAATCATCAGATGTTAATTATGGTTGCTACATGTCAATTATATAATAATATTACTTTTCTAGACTGATGCCGCCTACTTTAACCTTTGATGAGCCTGAGGTCACAATATGCTTCCCCCTGTGTCAACTGTCAAGTGGGAAGCGAATGATGTGGAGTTTTGGAAGAGGAGCATCAGCTGCCAGAGCATGCACCGATGTGCAAAAAAGGCAGACAACCCAATGAGGCTATATGTCATCTTAATCAGGCTGACTTGGCTAAGTTGGACTAGTTTGGATCAATCAAGTCCTATGCATATAGGATTAAAGGGACTAAATCTAGGCTGGAGCGGATTTGTGTATGTTTGGGATATGTATAGTTAAGGAATGGTTAGTTTAAATAGTGCTAAAGATAATGTGAAAGAACCTCAAAATAAATATTTCAAAAGCATTTAAATGTTACATATTTTCTTTAAGCTATAACAAAAAATCTATTAACACAAACTGCTGACTAAATTATTGGAGTGTGACGAGAGAGAGACAAATCCATTATTAATATTCTTAAAATATGATAAACCATAAATAAAAGATGAAAAAAAAAAAGAAGGAAAAGACATTATTTCTTTTTCCATGTATTCTTCACATTAATGTTTTTTCCTTGCATCTACACTGGGTATTGCTAGTTCAAACGAATGTGAAAGAATGTAGCAATACAAGAGAAACAAGAAAGAATGTGAAATACAAGAGCGACAAGAAAGAATGTGCAATAAAAAAGCAACAAAAAATTAAGATAGAAGGAAAAACAAATGTTCTAGAGGTTTTACCACCACAAACTCCATTTTCTTCAGATTTTCCCTTTGCCTTGTTATCATCAAGGTCTTCAGCAAAACTTTCTTTTTGATCCTTATGTTGTTTTTCCCTATCCTTCTCTCTTTCTAGCTCTTTAACCTTTTCCACTTTATCCCTATCCCTTTCTTGTTTATCTCTATCTTTTTCACGCCTTTCTTTCTCAGCTTCTCGCTCCTTTAGAAGATTCTGCTTCTTATCTTTCATAATTCTTTGTAGCTCACTAACATCTTTTGTTATAAGGTCCAAAGGTTGTAGAAAAGAGAAGTCATCATCACCCTCTAACTTGTCCTAACAAAATAAACAAGAACAGTACAAATGTGGATCAACATTGGTAAGTAATTCATTATGCCTCTGATAAACAACAATGTAGTTGATTTATAAGGATCATAACAGGAATGTTGAATGCATACACTTTCCAAGTTTGCCTCCAACTCTATATACTGAAGTCCCTTCTGCACAAATGTAATAAGAGCACCTGGCGGAATCATGTTGCCATCTATACTTGTCTTGTTGATTCCAGCCTCATATCCCAAAGCAAATGCAGCATGTGTGAAACCTGAATTGAGTAAGAGTGTACACTATCAACCATACAGAAGTATCATAATAACATTATAAAATAGAAATGATGAAAATACATACATTATATGAAATTCTTATGTATTTATGTATCTAACACCTAAATCCTTATATTTACTTATAAATATCATAATCTTTAAACGCATAAAAAATATTATTAATATTAATTTATTTAAAATGAAATACACCTTTTCATATACATATATATAATTTAGACACTAGGGTGTTGTGCAAATAAATATAAATATTTAAATGCTAGATATGTACATACTAAAAAATTATATAGTATGTATGCAAATTCCTTGATAAAATTTTGGGGGAAAGTACAACATAAACTATTTACAAGATTTGTATAATTTAAATAGCTTTAACAATGGACACATGGGCTACAACTAAATCCACATGATACTAGAAGATGAAGAGACTAGAATGAATGTGATCCCCCTAGGAGTCGATTCCTACAATGTTATGCCTTTGGACTTGATAATACTTTCAGAAACTGAACATAAGTCACTGAAATCACCATCAAAAGAAAACACAGAATGGCTATAAAACTACTTATCCTATCATCATTTGAGTCGGTTGCTGTTTTGAGTGGGCCACGCATGTTCATGGAGCCAAATGGAATGATAAGTAAAACAGATAAGAGTTACTGGGGTGAAGTCATTCGAAAGGGATGGGGCATAACTTTGGATCCCGCTTGCTTATAAACAAATCATTAAGAAGGGCCTCGGCTTGATTTCCAAGTCAGGCATGTCGATGAAGGCCACCAGAAAGAAAAGTATATCTTCCCAATCAGGAAAAGGATACAAAGATAGTGTGTCTCTCTATCCCTGCTTCCATAGGCAAAGGATATTGACGCTGATTTAAGGAATCATTAGTGAGGTTTCTCCCCAAACCAAGGATCTTAATTATATTGAAAGATCAAGTCATCACCCATACTTTTCTTATTCATTTTCAGACTACATGCCTCAAATATAAGTCTTGGTATGGATGCTTCTGAGGTTTAGGAGGTCATCTTCCCAAATTGAAGGGCAGACAAAAGAAAGGTATGGTGCTTGTGAGTCAAAGCCAAACAGTCTCAGAATTTATCTTGCTTGATAAATGAATAAATTTGAAGGGGCATGAGTTCATTTTTTGAGCTGGGTACAAAAGATGAAGGCCATAAGAAGGGTGTCTTCTTGGTCAAGAAGAGGACAAAAATATGTTCTCTATCTCAACCAGTGTGACTCCAAACTGGGACATGCTACCAACAAAACAATACGCAATTAAAAAACATGAATCAAAAAGTTTTTGGAAGAAAGCTCACTTAATTTTGCTTCACCTTTTACAAGTACATTTTGCATAGCCCCATCAAATTGTTGCATCACATGTTCCTTGCTTGCATGCTTCCTCAGGAAACTCCTGTAAACTTGCGCAGAATTCTCTGGTGCTCTCTCCTATCAAGACCTCCCAAGAGATGTTACCTACACCAAGCTCTTTCCTTGCACGCCACCACACTCCTTAGTGACCATAATATCATAGATAACAACCAGTGTGACACCACATCATCTAGCAATGAAAATCCTTAAAGCGGGTTGGGAGCATGTCAAAAAAGGCTTGGTTTGTTAATGCCTCATAAATCAGCAAAAGCAAATTATCGCAACAAAGCTAAGCTCAACGCCCTTGTTACTCCACTGCTAATACCGTGTGGTGCCTAGGAGTCAATGGGCTAAATGCTCTCCTCCATGCACTCCACTCAAGAGGCTAAGACTTCCACTAAATGAAGAAAATTGGTAACCTCGCAGCTAAGGCTTGTAGAGCTTTCCCACACTCTTCAGCCAAACCAACGCCGACAAGTCTTTCGAACTTCCTCTTGAACTCATTTTCACCAAGCTAGCTTTTCTATTTGATTGTATATGAATCTCTCCAAGATCATACTCTACATAAGCTACCATCCTCTATTGAGTCAACCTCCAAGATAGCCAACAAAGACGATCAAACCTAACCACTCAAATTAAGTCATAACAAATTCTTCTTTGCTCAGTGTTGGCAACACTTATCGCAAACTCTTCACCGGTAATTCCCCTTTTGACTGCAATCTCCTCTTTGCCATCTAGGAGGATTATTTTTGCCTGAATTCTACATGGCGCCTTAATTTTACACGTAGAATCCTATCTCTCGAAATTGAAGTTGATGGCATGTTGCGCTTATGACGTACAATGATCAACAACTAATACTCAACAACTTCCTCCCAGTAGCCAAAGATATTTTGCTAGCTCTAGCCCTCCTACCCAACAACATCATGTAAGTATGTCTCCTCCACCCGACATCTCCCTATCATTGCCCTTGCGTATGAAAACATCTCATTGACATGTCTTTCCCAACATCTTTTCGGCTCGACCATTTCACTTGGTGCCTCCTCATCTCGATCTTGCCTAATAGCCTCTCTTTCGACCTATCTCCTCTGCTTAACACATCCCTACATCACTTTCCGACCTAATAGCTTAATGTTGGCCCACCTTCATGTTGGCAACCTCATTTCTGACATTATCTTGTCAGCCAAATCCCTCCACTTGACAAGGCTTAAAGATTTCAAGATCAAATCTCTAACAAGTTGCGGACTACTCTTTTGCCTTAGGCTACCACTAGCCAGTGCCATGGGAGAACACCATGCATCCAACATACCTTATCACTTCTAACACTTGCAGCTCAATCATTCGAGCCCTTACAACAGCTAACTCCAACAACCAATGGGATCACATCATTTTGTTTATAAATATATATAGCACAAGTATTTAGCAGATCATTATGTTACTCTTGAGATTGAGCTCATGTAAAGCTTTTTTTTTTTTTCATCCTCCTTCTGCCAAGAAGTAAACCTTTAGCATATATTTCTTTCTTCAATCTTTCTAAATGCAATACCCCCTCTCTCTATAGTAGACAAAAGCTACAAATCCAAACCATTTAAAAATATTGGTGGTCATATGTTGCTTTCCTTAAAGACCACCATATCTAGGGAGTATATCTACTGATTGCTCCCTTCTCTATTTTTGATGGCTTCACCTCAATTCAAGCCACATGTCACCTCTCCATTGAAGAACTAGTTTTCAAGATTCATGGGAGAGCTCCTAGCTCACATAAAATAGCAAATATTTCCAAAATTTTAAAATAATGCTTCAAAAAATATTACTTAAGAAAAGCATTTTCATTGATAACCCTTTTTGCATTAACTCTACCAATTCACCACCCAACTAAAAAGAAGAAAAATGTGCTTAATCTACTTCTTTTCATACTTAAACCTAAGGACACAACCCTAATTTCGAGAATTTCATTTGAAGTTTAAAAACCTTCATCATTAAGGTATACACTAAATTGATGTTAATGATTGAACATTAAAAGAATTAATAATAAGACTAAACTAGTTTAACAACTTAAAACTGATAATTCTTTTTTTTAGTAATTGAAATCACAATGTGCATGCCCCACTGAGATACATGAGATTGGAAAATGGCCCAAATTTGTAAGTACAACAAGGGTTAAGTTTCAAATATACTGGTTGTGGGCCTGTGGCCATTGCTCATTAAGTTTTTAGATTAATGGGCATTAATCCACAAGTGTAATAGGCACAATTAAGACCCTCAATGTTACCATCCCGACAAGTGAAATCAAAGTTGATAGTTCATGTAATTTGTATCTCTCATGGGTTTTAATGGCTTTTATAATGATTAAGCAAATATCATAAGTGGAAGACTCCCACATTGGCCCCACTTAGTTGACTCTTCACACATTAAATTTGATAATATTAAAAAGATTTATTTGAGGGTGATGAATAGTGTGGAAAAATCCCACAAATGCAAGGGAGCCTATTAAGACATAAAAGTGGCAAAAAATCCAACAATAAAGCCAAACAAGAAATAAGTTCCTAATATACTAGCGATAGCCTTACACATTAGCTTAAGATTTTATGTTGATGATCGAGCACCCAATAGTATATTGGGCTCAACATAGAACCCCAATCTTGCACCCTCCTAATAAAGCCAAACTGATATGACATGCCAAATCTCATTATTTAAAGGTGGCTAGATAAAGCAAGATTCCTATATTCTGAACATAAAACTTTATGAAATAGTAAATTGAGAAATTTTATATTAAAATTACATGGTGAGTATGCATGTTTGTGGCTTTAAGCAGAAAAAAAAAAGTAGTAAACCTACCCCTGATGCATGATTTTCCAATGATTAGGGACCGTTGAGGCAAATGCCATAAACCCATTAATTTAACAAATATGTAGCTTGTCTATCTTGACATGTTCTACACTCGCCAACAGCGACAATATAAGAAATTTGTTCTGCTAACCTTGCCAATCAATACTCAATACAATTCCACATACTAGACAAAGGTATGACTGACTTCTAAATGGACTGCAAGCTTAAAATAAGTAATAAAATGCATATGCCAAAAATTATTCTTTCAGAAAATGGTTTGAGTAAAACATCTTGGCTGATGAACTTACTTACACAGTGCAATCAACAAAGCATTAACAGAAAGTAAAGAAGAAAAATGAAGTAGTCTGCTAACGCACTGATATTGTTGTTGATTGCAAGCTTCATTAAATTTCTACGTAGCTATGTTTAGCTTTTGTTGATTTATCAAATAACTCTCACTCAGAAAAATAATTAGCATTGACACTTTCAAGTTTCAACCCAAACGTAGCTACAGTTAACCAGAGAAACTAAATAAATAACACGATTTCAAATTCATCATCTATTACGAAGGATTGACGAGTAGGACAGACAAGGCTTATAACTACTCTGATGTCAACCCGCAGCTCAGTCCATCGGACCCTAGAAACCAACCATTGGTACTGTCTTACCCACCATAAAGCTCTTGCGCTCGATATAACATCCTCCCATCAATGCAAAAGACAAAAGAAGGGTTTACCATATCTCACAGTAATCCAATTAAAAACCATAGATTCTCACAAACACTCCCTAAACACAGCAGCAAACATGATGACCTAATTTGAATAGTTCAAACCCCTTAAATTGGTCCGTGAATGGCAATGAAATCAAGAAAATCCTGTACAGCTAACAAAACCCTAGAATAATTTCCCAAAATAAGTAACGACGTCGCAAAGGCAAAATTAGGTTGAAACTCCGAATCCCCGGAAACAAGAGAAAGGGTTTTTGGGCGAACAAACTGACCCGACTCCTGCAGGTAGCGGAAAACCAGAAAATTCAGCTCGTTGGACGTGATCGCTGAGAGCGTCGTCATGAGATCCCTCGCCGCCGCAAAACCATCGCCAAAGCCAACCTCAGGAGGTCGGATAAAGAAAACGGTAGGCAATAAGTAGAGGAGAACGGGGAGAAGCTGCGCCTCTTTGGTAGAAGATTAACGGCGACGCCGAGAAAAGAATCGACGGCGACAACTTTAACGGCGAGCTCTTCGTCTTCACAACCGCGGACACTTCGCGCCGTCAGCCGGTTTTGCGTGCAGGCGTGCAAAAATCGATTCGTTTGGACCGGAAATGGTCCAGTCGAGCTCGATCCATCTTTAAATTAAATTTATAATTAATTAATTTACATTTGTTGGTTTTTATTTAAATCATTATGATTAATTAAAAGAAAATTATTATTTTTATAATCTAAGAATTATCCAAACTTTAGAAAATGGTCATTTTTAGCATATATTTTTTGTGTTCAAATATTTATAAAATAAAAAATAAATACTTGAACACAATTGATGAATCCCATGAAAAAATAAATAGACAAACAAAAAGGGCTATCCTTAACTAGAGGTGTAAACGAGTCGAGTTGAGTAGTGACCTTATCGAGTTCGGCTCATCAATCAAACAATTGGCTCGAACTCGAGCACGAGCTCGAGCTCATTGCACTGCAAATAGATCGTCGAGTGGCTCACGAGCCCACAGTCGAGCGGGCGGCCTATATATGTTTCGCATGCGAGCTCGTGACCTGCGTCTCCCCTGACCCGCGTTCGTCTTTCGAAATTCCTGCTTCCGTCTTTTGGAATTCCCGCATGATGCTCGCAGTCCGTCCTTTGGAATTGTTGTCCAGCGCTCGCATTCTGTCTTTAAGAATTCCAGCATACGCACATTTTCATTTTAGCTTTTTTTATTCAAATAATCATTCGAGCTTGGCTCACAAGCCGAGCATCATCAAGCTCGAACTCGAGCTCGCGACTCAATAAGCTCGGCTTGCGAGCTCGTTATCGAGTCAAGTTCGAACCAGCTAGGCTCACTTACACCCCTATCCTCAACTCTATAAAAGTAAACCAAACACATTAGAATAATTGGCATAACCCCCAAAAAATTAAAAAGCTTAGATAAAGCATGTATAATTTTGGACATTTTTATTTAGGAAGATGATAGCTAAATGCAATTTTCTTTCAACTTTTATATTGCAAAGAAAATTGTTCTTTCAATTTATGTGGCATGCCACAAATAGAACATTATGATTTGTTTACTGAAAAATAATAATATTATTGGATGGAATATGAGAATTTTATTAGCTGGACTGGGGAATGTACCGTTTTTTTTTATTTTGCTCTACATAAATTCAACAAAAAATAGAACAAACAATTTATGTAAATTCTCATTACAGATAACCAAATAACCCCCTAAGAATTTATAATATATTGCATTATGTACACAATGAGATTGTTTGATTTGCAGTAGAAGGGGGTTTAAAGTATTTTAAGTATATGAGTTTCGAATATAATAGTGATTGCTTTGAAGTAAAAGAAATGCAAAATAAATTATTTTGAAATTTACCATCAAGTTCAATTTTGGAGTATTTGAAAATCATTAGATTTAGCCAATTTTTAAATTAATTATAAATTCTCTATCATTGTCAGTTTGTCACTGCCACGCGCAAGGTCGTTGCTACACCATCACTGTTGGTTGCTGCTTGACATCTTCGTTGTCTCCTACTGCTAGCCACTATCTGCCATCATTGTTGACTGTCGCAGCCCAAATACAATAAATTACATTTACATTGCATGGCATTTTATTATGTGCTTCTTTTCATCAAATTTAATTACGCGTTTATTTTATTTATTTTGCATTTCTTTTTTTTAGCAAATCAAACATTGCCTTAGTCAAGAACTTATAATAGACTTTTTTTTTTAACTTATAATAGACTTCAATCTGCTTCAGTACAAGAAATCTAAATTACCTACTTTATAATTTATGGTTCACCCCAAAAAATTTATCATTTTGGTTTTTTTTTTTAAATAATTGTAATTTAGGTGGCCTATATTGATTCTTTATATTTAAAAAATCTTTTATAATTTTTATATGTTCTTATTTTGATTTTCTTTATTTATCTTCTTAATTTATATCACATTGTATATTTAAGATTTATATAACATAGGTGGTGATATATGTCAATTATTATTTCATTCATAGATGCAATGCATCTCATGACCATTATATTATGTAAATTTGAATTTGTATTGATATATATTTAAATTTAATGATCACACTATATAAGTTATTGTTTTTAAAATTTTAATATGATAAGATACAATTTTGAATTTAAAAAATATAATTTTGTTATGAAATAGTTAATTGATGTATCATAGCTAATTGTCATCATTACTATGATAAACATTTCAACCATAAATCAATAAAAATTTGATAGCAAAATTTTGGTGACATTTGATTTCTTTTATGAATATCAAAATTTATTATACTGCAGAGCCAGCCAAAATCAGTAGAGCTTCATATCTATAGAGTAAAAGAAAATAATCATTCGAATAATGCATTAATTTTTTTAAAATGAACATCCATGATGAAAACTTGACTTCATTTAATAAATTTACAAAAAAAAAAAAAATCCTATTTTGTACACCCCCCTTAGAAGAGAGACTAGTTCTGCCCTTGATGTTAAGTTTCATCAAAAATTTTAAGTTATAACCAATAATTCAATATATTTATTATTTTTATGCTAAGATATATTAATTAATATATATGTAATATGATAATCATTGTACTTATCCAAACATTAAATTTGTTATGGGTCACAACTTGGAGGCAGAATAGTTCTACAAAACTCCAATAATAAAACAGAAATACTTCATTAACTTGTAAACATCAAGCCTTTGTTTGAATCCAAAGAAAAGGGGGTGAAAATAAAAACAAATTAGTAATTTTACTATTTGTTAAAATATTTTTGGATTAAGGATAGTTTATCATTTTAGTATTGAATGAAAAATTCGCACACGAATATTCATCAAGAGAAACTCATAGGTTGTTTTCTACTTGGAAATTTGAGAAGGGAAAAAATTAAGGAGTCTAACTAAGATGGAAAGATGCACAATTGTAAATTAAATATTATAGAGATTGTCATTTCTCATAATTAGAGAAGAAATACATACAATATAGTAAATATAAACTATGGAAGATATCTTCCATTGTGGAGGTGTGAGTCTTTAGATGTAAGAATTATTAACAAGTGATGGTGGGCAACCATCTTGGCCAATCTCATTTTAGAGTGGGATTAAGTAATCAGAAATATGGGTGTTAGATGTTAGTAGTTAAGAGATACTGATGTAAGCCTTTGGCAAGCATTAGGTGACAACCATTTGAGAATGCCAAATGTCAATGTATCATCGATAGTCTGCTAAGGCATTTTCAATACATGATAGTATACTGACAACCAAAAAAGATAGATACTGATGGCATACGAATGCTAGTTGTTGACATGTATGTTATGATGGTCAATTGACTAGATCAAAAATAGGATATTAGGCAATGGTTAATCTATAACATAAAAAATTTCACTCCCAACAATAATAACCACTATACACATGGCCAACGTTCGAAGCCCTATATATTCTCAATGAACTTAGTAGGTCATGCTACCAATAGACCCTCTAGAGAATCCTTGCAATAATACTTGGGATCCCTCTCAATAACATCTTCATGCAAGTTCTTGGAAATACCCTCAAGGATGCCCTTAGATAGACTTCTTGACTCCCTTTAATTATGTATCATTTGCTCAGGTCCATTCATTTTCTCCATTGGTTATCTTTTTTCAAGTGCTAGAGGAATAAAGAATAAAAGAGCTTCCATGTATCAACTTTTATAATAAAATTTCCATATTCCCTCTTTTGTGCCATCATGATAGCCAAAACTACATGGCCAATCCAATGGCATTTCTAGCTCATATTCTTCATCTCTGAAGCTACTTTGTCACTCTTATATAACTACATTCTAGTCTCTAATGACAAATTTTTCCAAGAGGTTAGTGTGCCATATTCTTGTAACTGCTCTTTATCCCATCCCAATATGATGATAATATCTTTGCATACAACTGAAATGCTTAAGACATTAAAAAGAAGTTATAAAAGGAAAGATAGCTGATTTAAAGGGATTTTAGATGATTAATCACAATAATTGAACTCCAAAGCTAAGTCCAAGAAGGAAGCTTTGATAAAGTCAACGCTCATCAAAACTTTATAAGCTCATACCATATTCGATGATGCATGATAATTGGCCATGAGAAAGACTCATTAACTTCTTTCTTCTTTGTACCCTTCTTGAAAGTAATGATAATTCTTACTTATTTTCTCATATAATCTCCTGATTTATGTGTCGCATGTAAGATCTTTATAAATTTCAACCACAACCAAGCATAATTTGTAGTAGTTTACAAGTATTCTGAAAATTCCTAGCATATTGATGCAATCTATCCCTTTTTTAGCCATTATCGATCTTGTTATGCCTCCCCACAAAATCTTTGGGGTGCAATGTATTCCCTTTTTCCCCTTCATTCATTTGAAAAGTTTATCCTCTCTTGTCACCTCTACTTGTTGAGTTTTCTCTATCAACAAATGATTTGTTTGGCTATTCCTGTTATAGAAGACCTATGAGATAAATAACTTGAAACTCGGGCATCAAATATCAGTGGTTGATAGATAATGATCATTGAAAAACATTTGATGATAATTGACTAGAAATATTATATGTCAAAAGAATGTCAATGGTCTACTCAATCACTCTTGTTATAGAGAGAAGGTAGATGACCAAGAAGGTTAGAGTTAAAGGTTGGTGATGACAGTTGTCAAAGTTGGTCGATGTTGGATTACAACAGTGTCGATGGTGAGGGCCAACCAATGCTAATAAATATAGCTTTCAAAATTTTAAGCTTCTAAATTATCTCCACCAAATCCTTTCCTAGATCCCTCTGCATCATGTAGATAGTATATTATTTATAGATTTATATATGTGACATTTTAGGCATTTCTATCAAATAATAGGATACTCCATTGAACCATTGAAGTGGAATCCCCTTATAAGTCGATGCTTTTTTAATACATTGGTTCATTGCTGAACTCAAAATTTTGTAATAATGGGCTCGTTGGATTTGTATATTCGACATGCTCATTTTAGATATAAACATGTGAAATTTATAGGTTTTATTGTCGATTACAAGAAGTGCATAAATAATTACATGAAGTATATACGTTCTTCAAATAGGAAAATGTTGAACTATAAATAGGCTTAAACTGAGCTTAAGTTGTGCTCATACACTGAGCTCAAGGTTGATAAGCCAAAATGATAAGCCGTTGCATTTGACTTCCTCCAGCCGCCCATAGCTTACCTTTTAAAGCCACTACTTTTGTGTTTGCGGTAATCTTTTTTCAGACTAAAGCTTCATATGGGATGGCATTCTTATCACTTAGAGTAGCTTTTTAGTATAAAAAAATTAAATTTTGTACTAAAAACTACTTTAAAAATCAGTAAGAAAGCCGCCCCAAACGAAAGCCTAAATCATCATCCTTGATTTGTAACTGATCTACATCCTACCATTCATTTACTTAATCTAGTGTGTGTATATATATATATATATTGTAAAGACAGCTCTTGCTTTAATGAGAAGAAATATTTTCTACTACTATGGTTCTTCTTATGATGCTTTTGTTTTCCTTTATTTTCTTATGCTGAAAGATTGTTGTAGTTTCTCGAAGGTCAACAAAGAATAGGGTGGAATCTTGGGAAGCTCCATAAGAGAAGAAGTCCCTAGAAAAGGCATTGCACTTCACATAAAAAACTCACCAAATAAGCCATCGACAGAAACAAAACGACGGGAACACTGATGTGAAGATGAGGAGATCACGATTTGCAATCCAAAAACGATAGAGTGAACAAGCAGTTGGAATGCAATCAATAAGGATGCATGAGATTTAGGCTCGAATGGTAGAAATTTAATTGAACCGACTTGCAAACTAACAAGTCAAGTCAAATCAAACTTAAACTCGAGCTTATATATTATATGAGCTTTAATTTGACCTCAAGGTCAAACTTGTAGCACGATAAACTTGACACACAAGCTTCTTGACTGGATGTGGTTACTTAACACCCGTAATGTTGATAATATTATTACAACGACATATAAAATGTATGATGAGAATGCTTATGTGATGATCTATAAGCTATTTGATGAGAAATGAGATTGCATGATCTTTAATTTTATCAATCTTCATGAATAAAAAAATTTAATGTACATAATATACATCGAATATTTACTATACTCTCAACAATTTAATAATTTAGGATTCTCAAAACTTTGCACATATATTCTTCTACGTCAGAATAACTCAAGGGTAAATTTTTAAACTAGTATCATTAGTAATTAAATTATGTGATTATGGCATAAAAAATTTAATAATATGCATAGTCGCATGTTCAATGGGCAACTATGTTTCTTCTTATGATGCTTTTCTTTTCCTTTATTTTCTTATGCTGAAAAAGTGTTGTAGTTTCTCGAAGGTCACCAAAGAATAGGGTGGAATTCTTGCCTAGAGCTCCGTAGAGAAGAAGTCCCTAGAGAAGGCATCACAATTCACATCAAGAACTCACCAAATAAGGTATGAACAGGAACAAAATGATGGTAACACCGATGTGTAGATGAGGAGATCACGATTTGCAATCCAAGAACGTTCGATAGAGTAAGCAAGTAGTTGGAATGTAATCAATGAGGATGCATGAGATTTAGGCTCGAATGGTAGGAATTTAATTGAACCGACTTGCAAACTAACAATTCAAGTCAAATCAAGCATAAATTCGAGCTTATATATTATATGAGCTTTAATTTGACCTCAAGGTCAAACTTGTAGCACGATAAACTTGAGACACAAGCTTCTTGACTTGATGTGGCTTACTTAACACCCTTAATGTTTATAATATTATTACAATGACATATAAAATGTATGATGAGAAATGAGAATGCATGTCTTTAATTTTATCAATCTTCATGAATAAAAAATTTCATGTACATAATATATATCAAATATTTATTGTACTCTCAACAATTTAATAATTTAGGATTATTAAAACTTTGTACATATATTCTTCTACATCGGAATAACTCAAGAGTAAATTTTTAAACTAAGTATCATTAGTAATTAAATTATGTAATTAAGTGTGCTATAAAAAATTTAAAAACAGGCATAATCGCATGTTCAATAGGCGACTTACTTGCCCAGTCAACATCTAGTTAGCATTTAAAAAATAATAATTAAAAAAAAAAATAGAAGTAGTGTAGCAAGTCGCCCGTAGTGCACTATAATTTTTTTATTTTTAAATCAAGTTTATATTTTTCAATGGAAAAAATTAATTAACTTTTAAAAACAAAAAAAAAAATCATTTTAAAATATAACTAAATTTGAGTGTCATTTTTATTTTTAATAGAAATCATTGCTCAAGTTTACATCATTAATTCAAGTTTTTTATTTTAATAAATTGTCATTATCTTTTTATAAAATGAAATGTCATTTTCTTAGTTGAAATTAAAAAAAGATATTCAATGTTAGTTTATCTATAAATATTTTGAATTTAAATATGTTATCAATTTTTTTAAAATATATATTCTAACTGCAATCCTAAACAAGCCTTATGATGTTAAATTTTAATAAATTATCTTTACGATTAATAAATTTAATGTAAGATAGATTTCCATTTGTCAATATTAAATTTAAAAATTACAATATATAAAAATTAACAATGATATTAAAAGTAATGTAATTTAATTAAATTTTCCCTTTCAAAAATAAAAATTTGTTTTAAAAAATAAAAACATAAAAATAATAATGTACTTTAGTAAGTGGCTTGTTTAATGGGCAACTTACTACAATACTTTTATATTTTTTTTAATTTTTTTTAAATGTTGACTGGGCAAGTAAGTCACCCATTGAACATTCGACTATGCCTATTTTTAATTTTTTTATAATATATTTTGTTGCAGACAGTGGCGGAGCCAGAAATTTTATTCAGGGGGGGGGCCGATGGTTGCAGACTAGAATATACGAGGCGATAGAGTTAGAAAATTTCTATATCAGTGTTGTACGGATATCCAGCACACAAACATGAGAGAAATAGAAACACCAGGATTTTTACGTGGAAACCCTAGAAAGGGGCAAAACCACTGAGTTACGCCCAGTTACAAAAGTTTCACTAGTGTTTGTTTGAGATACAATTGGCTAACTCGTCAGCAAAAGTTAGGACGATCAGATTACAATGAATCACTTCTGGATTGAAATTCAATTACAACGTCGGGCAGAATTCCGACGTCACTTGGAGATCGAGCAGAATTCTGACTTCGTTCAAAAGTTGGGCATAATTCCGGCGTCGTTCGGAAGTCGGGCAGAATTCCGGCGGCAATGGACGAGGAGGAGTTTCTTCCCTCCTAATCTTCTTCTCTTCTCTTCTCCTTCTTGCTTGGGTCCCCTCTCAAGAGAAATGAGGAATCTATTTATAGATATTATGGAGTGACATGACCCGTAAATAAGTGAGAGATCAGGGGTAAAGGGGAGTGGTTGAATGGACGACTAATATTGAATCCCTTGATCGTGTACCGTTCGTCAGACATTTGAATGTCTTAATGATGTCGGAATTTGGCGATCTTGGGCTCTTTGGATCCGTCTCGTCTAGCCACTCGATCCGACTATAAGCATGTCATGTTTCAAACCCGTTTGGTAACTCAAATTGTGGTTTGAACTTTCCAACAGCGCTTCGGGTCCTTGATTTGGACTCATTTGGACTCGGATTTAGTCGAATTTGGTGTCGTTGGGTTCATATTTCCGAGACGCCCAGTTTGGCTATAAGTTTGCTGAAACTGGAGTTTTGGTGATCCCAGATTTAATTTTTGAAGTTTCCAGCTTGATTTCGCCTCATGATTTGTGCCCGACCAAGATAATTTTTTGATGATATATCATATTTAATTACATAATATAGTTACTAATTATACAGTTTAAAATTTTACTCATAACTCAATGCCAAAGTACAAAAATACAAAATAGGATACGTAAGACAGATGCATCATATGTTCATCTGATCGCCTTAGTGATCAGCAAACTTATTTTTTTTAGACGCAGCTCATCTTCTTTTATTGAGACTTTTGATTGTCAATCAAGAGATTTTAATTTGAGATTTTATTTAGGACGACTTTAATTATTTCTATTTTTTAAAGTATTTTTTTAATTTAAAATTTTTTATTTTTACTAAAAAAGCTGTTTTTATGAAATAATAAAGCTGTTCTAAACATTACTTATCTCATATGAGTGTTACTTTAGTCTGAATGTCCCCAAAAAAAAAAAAAAAAAAACTTAATTCAAGGCTATCGGATTACATGCTTTCCCTTCAAAATTCTCAAAAAGAAAGAAGACGATTGCTTAGCAGTTAAAGAGGATAATTCAATCATGAAGCTGCAGAAGAAGACTCATCATCTCTCGACGCGGGCGGCACAATACTTTCAAAGGAACAGCTTTAGGAAGAGTTAATGTATTCCCATTATCCATCATATCCACTTCCTTATCCTCCATCTCCTTCCACTCAAAGCACTGAATCATCGCCGCAAGCATAAGCGGAATCTGAAGGCTCGCCATGGCTTCTCCCGGACACCCTCGCCTCCCCATCCCAAAAGGAATCATCGTCTTCATCATCCCATCCCCCCTGCTTTCACTCCCCACAAATCTCTCCGGCCGAAACTCCTCCGCCGCGGCCCACTCCACCGGGTCACGATGGATGGCCCAAACATTAACGAGCAGCATGGTGCCGCGCCGGACATGGTAGCCAGCTACCGTGCAATCCTCACGCGCCTCGTGTGGATGCAGGAGCGGCACCGCCGGGTAGAGACGGAGAGTTTCTGTGATGACGGCGTGGAGGTATGGGAGATTGGGGAGGTCTTCCTCTTCCACGAGGCGTTGAGAGCCGATGAAGGTGTCTATCTCGTCCTTGACTTTGTTCATGGCTGTTGGGTGGTTTAGCAGAAGGGACATAACCCAAATGAGCGTCTCTGTTACAGGGATAGACCCCGCAATCCCCAAGGACTGCAATTATATGTAACAGTTAGATTAAATGCAAATAAAATCCAACTTAGAGCATCTCCAACAAAAAATCTCATTTTTCACTGTAAAATATCGTGAAACTAAAAAATATCATAATTCATCTCCAATTGAACTCAATTTTTTCCTCTTTCGCAAATAACGGTCGTCTCTTTTTTCCCGTGGCAAGTTCAATAGAGACATAAAAATGGCGGAGATGAACAGTGCAACATCAATATTGACGTCCCACTGTTCACCTGCAACCAAATAGCGGAAATTTTACCATTCGGCTGGAGCTGGCGAGGGACGCCATTCAAGTTTTTGGAGTTCAATTGGAGATGCCCTTAAGGAGAAGATAAGAGGACCTGAACGGTGGCTTTGATGACATCGTCGGTTATGTGGTCAGGGGACTCTTCTTGCATAGAAAGGAGAAGATCCATAAAACACTTGCTATGATCCGTGCTCGAAGAATTCTTCTTCTGTCGGTGGCCATCGATAAGGCGTTGTAAGATGGTGTTTCTCCTGGACAATAATTTGCTCATTGACCTCGATTCCAGCCATTGTAAACCAATCAGCTTCAGAAAAGGAAAGAAGTCGGTGACGAAGAACCCCCCGCCTCTCGCCATAAGCTCCTCTTCCATTTCCTTGAACTCCTCCATCTTCTTCATACCCAGCTCTCCTTCACCGTAATATTTCTCTCCTGTGAGCATCCTCACAATGACGTTCAACGCCATCCCAAACACTCTCGACTTCAGCTCAATCGGGCACCAGCTGTTTCAATCAATTAGTATAGTAATATTGAATAAAATGCTAATCAGATGAGAAAGAACTGGTTAAGCTCAGTACTTATCTCCTTTGGAGTCGTCGAGAAGCTTGGTGAGCAGAGCGCGGAGCTCTGCTCCGCGGGTGTCGGCGAATGAACGTAAGCGGGAGGAAGATACGAGTTCATTGATGGTGAGGCGGCGAAAAGTGCGCCAGTGGTGGCCGTAGGGGGCGGTGGCGAGACCGGAATAGTTGAAAGAGATGGGGCGGATGGAGGGGAGGAAGGGGCGAGAGGCGAAAGCGAGGTCGTTGGTGGTGAAGCACTCGACGGAGGCAGAGGAGGAGGAGACGAGGAGTACGGTACGGGAGCCGAGGCGGAGGAGGATAACGGGTCCGTGGTCTGCGGAGATGGCGGCGAGGGTGCGGGGCAATGAAGAGTTTTTCTTCATAAAGAGGTGGAGATGGCCGAGGATCGGAAGGGAGGGAGGGCTTGGAGGGAGAAAGTTGGTTCTTTTCTTTAATTTAGACTGAGAGAAGAGGAAGGAGATGAGGAGAAGTAGTATTGGCAGAGAGAGGGCGGTGATGGTGTAATAAGCTTCCATGTTCGAGATGGAGGAGACTCGAAGGGCAATGAGGCTAGCAAGGGAGATTTATCGAAGAAATTTAATTAATTATTTCTTTAATAAATAGTAGTTTCTTACTAAGCAAATAAGTGTGAAATTATCTAAACAGATAAGTGTGATATTATATAAACACATGTGTTTTAATTATAATAGCAACATAGATTAGATATTATAGTGTTTAAACATAAGAATTTTTTTCAAAATTTTTTATCTCTAAAATTAGCAACTATCGATGTAAGAAGGGATTTTGTGACTGTTAGGTGTCCATTTTGTAAACTGATTTGACCAATATTTTTAAATAAAATGTATTATTTCATAGATATTTTTTTTATGATTTTTAAAACCTCAAAGAGATATATATTAATTTTTATACTGAAAATTGATTAAAAAGGCTAGGTAAGAGGAATTTTGAAAGAAATTAGATGAGGGAGAAAATAAAAGCACAGATTTGTAGGTCGTAGAATAATTTTTATCCAACTCTTTTGAAAAATTTACTCTTCTTGTTGAAAGGAACATATATCTTATTTCTGATTTCAATAATTTGATGTTTTTTATCTTTTTTCGATCAAATTTATATTTTCATTACTGAAAAATAAAAAGAATTTTGCATTCGTTAAACTTTCTCCGCGTAAACTTTATAAGTTATAGAAAATTAAGATTATGAAGGTTTTGAGTATTTATTTGAAATTTTTTTGCTGGTGATTTTAAAAATACAATAATTTTTTATAATTTAGAATTTATTTTGACATCTAAAAATAAAGCTTTAATTCAATTAAAGCTTCAAAATATGGCTATATATGATAAATGGTCATTTGGTTAATTCAGTTCGATTTTCTGTTGCCTATCGTTAAAATATTTTGACACTTTCTGAATTTAGCACAATTATATTTTATTTTTTATAATGCATTGAAAATAAATGTGGATAAATAATTGAGTAGTAACAGATTGTTATTATTGTTGAAATATTGTGATAGTGATATGTATGAAAAATAAGTAAAGACTAATTATTTATTGATGTTGGCTAGAGATTGATTGAATTGTACAAGATGGTGGGCCGACGAGCTTTCATTTAAATACTATGGTTGGGTGTAATCCTTTATTGACTCACGTGATACAATGATTGGGAGTTATAAGGAGTTATTATTGTATCAATGGGCAAATAGTGACAACTATGTTTATTAAACTGACGACATTATAATGGAAAAATATCATTGTAGCCAAGGCTTTTACTTATTTTATATGATTATTAGAATGATGTTATTGAATCACTACCACCATACATATTTATTGTTACGGCTACCTATGATGCTTATTTTACTATTATTTTATTGTTATTAATATACTAATCACATGATACATATATTAAGCATGTGCAGTTGACACTAATACTAACTTGACATTGATTTGACATTTTTGAGGATGTGATACACATATACAATATTTTTTATATGATTTTATTGTATTCACATGAATTCAACAGTCTGTACCGATATTTTGATTTGATATTTTATACGATTTATCTACTGATTGTAGTATTGATATGATAATTACCTTAGTGATTTGATACATGAATTAGTTTACTGATTTATCTAATGTATTGCCCTATGATCATGTGAATGCTAATATTATGATTTGATTACTGACATGTATATTAGTTCTCTACCGTGCGTTGAGTTCAATTGTATGATTTGGTTTCTTGTTGGGCTATTGAGCACATTATATGTGGTTAAATGATTTCAGATCAGAACAAATGAGGAGTGTGAAGCTGATCAAGGTTCCTTCAAATTCATGTTCTTTTTATTTTAACTATACTTTTGTACTCATTATAGAATAGTTGAGATATGATTATATAGATCATAAGTAGCGTATATGATTTTTTGGAAAATCAAATCAAATGTATGTATATATATATATATACTTCTCATAAATAAAGTTAGATAGCTCTAATTTTATTTATAAAATAATTATTCTAAATTAGATTATGAGGCAACACATGGACTATCATGAAGATAATGAGTAATAATTAAAAATGTAGTAAAAAAGAAAAATAATCTAATAACAATATTATTTATAGTTGATGCATCATAAAAAATCATCTTGAACATGCACAAATCTCGAGGCATATCTTATTGGACAACCACTAAAATTAAATTCGGGATCATCCAAACATCAATATTAGCACTTACAATCAAATTGAATGTCTCAATAAAATGAACCCAACAATATAAAAATTGGTCCAATTCGAGTCTAAACAAGCTCAAATCAAGGGCTTAAATCATATTGTGAAGTTTTAGAGTATTGATAGGATAAACAAATGATATCTAAATATAACATGTTTATAGTCAAATGGAGCGGCTCGACGAGTTGAATCCAACGATCCTAAGATTGCTTCATTATGACATCATTAAAAAGCACTTAAATGCTTAATGAATGCTTTATAATTAAGGGAATCAATATGGGCCGTTTGATGGAGCACTCAAAATTTATCATGAATCTTCTCCATATTTACGAGAAATGCTACTCTCAAATCTATAAATAAACCACATCTTCTCACATGAAGGGATGAACTCATACCTTTGGAAACTTGTGTAATAACCTGAAAATACAAAATGTATTAAAAAAATGAATTTTGGTTTGAACTGTAGTGCCTCGTTGCTGAGCCTTGTGACACGGCGGCACTGGCCTGAAAGTGCAACAATACCATTGATATATCATAAAAAATGTATCTTGATCGGGCATGAATCTTGAGGCAAATTTAATCAGAAATTTCTAAAATTAATTTTGGGACCATCTAAACTTTGATTTTGGCAAACTTATAGTCAAACTAAACATCTTGAAAAAAAAAATCGAACGACATTAAATTCGATCCAATCCGGGCCAAAATAGGTCCAAATCAAAGGCCCAAAGCACGTTCAATAGCTTCAAAGTATAAGTTAGATGATCAAATGATATCTAACTATTGAATGTTTATAGTCAAATCGAGCGGCTTGACGAGACAAATCCAACGATCTCGACTGACATCATTAAGGCATTCAAATGCCTAATAAATAGCCTATGATCAATGGAGTCGATATTAGTCATCCATCTGAAACACTCCAAATATGCCCTTGATCATCTCCCTAACACTGATTGTTGTTGTTGCTTATTACTACTAAATACAGATACTGAAATTAGTGTATGAGTGCATAGTTGATAAGTTGAGGTAAATGATTGAATGCTATAATTGAGTGAAACTGATTGGATGATAAATATAAAATAATTGATTAATACAAGTAACCGACACATAATATATATTAATTCATAGATTTCGTTACATAATTTATAACATATTATTTCTTTTGTGTTGCCTTGATTTTAGTTTTAAGATTTTAATTATTTAGTGGGCTTTTATAAATTTTATGTGGTTTTATATAATTTAAGGTAAAGTTAAGGGCCATGTAGCTTGAGGCTAGACAGTGATGTTAGTGCAATTTTATTTTAGATCTTCTAATTTATGTGAATTCTTTTGTAGCCTATAAAGTCTATTGTATATATTGTTTTGGATCCTCGGCAGAATATACATATTGATTATTATAGGAATGTGAATCATGATTCATGTTGTTTATTTATTTTCTATAATATAATTAATTAGCTCTGAATGTTAAATTGATCTAGTTGTAAATGATTGCACACTAGTTACTAACTAAAAGAAAATGAAAAGAGTAATTATTAAAGATAATAATAAAGAAAGTAAAGAATATAATTTCTTTGACTTTAGATCCCAGGGCGTAATAATTTGGATTTTGGGCTAGAGATTAAGAGTGGTCAGAGAAACCAACTACGGCCTTTGTCTGACCACTATCATCTGTTGACTATGGTCCCTTCAACATCTATAACCCAACTACGATCCTTCCGACCTCTGTCACTTGTTGACTACATTCCTTGTGACCTATGTCATCCAAATACAGTTCTACCAATCAAATGAGCAAATCCATACTCTCTCAAGAATAAATCTCATGACATTAGGTTCGTCCACCCCCAATCATGTAAAGTGTTATATATGATATATCAAGGCTTTGAAAACCGGACCGGACAATGAACCGAAAAAAAGAAGAGGTTAGCGGTTCGATGGTTCGACCGGGGTCGAACCGGGGTCGAACCGGATGACGTAATAAATAATTATTTTATTTAAAAAATAACCCAATATTTAATTCTATGAGAGAATAAAAAATCTATAAGTTTATAATTGGTAATATTTGGTCTTCATTTGAGAAAGTGTGTTGGCTATTCTCATATAATATAATAAAAAAAGTAGATGTAGCCTGTAGCTAGTTTTTTTTTTTTTTGGAGAAAAACCTGTAGCTAGTTTTGTTTCATATAATATAATAGAAAATGTAGCTGTAGCCTTTAGCTAAAGCTCTGTTTCAAGTAATATAATAGAAAAGCTAGCTATAGCTAGAGTTCTGTGACTTCTGGCCACGCCGCTATCCTAAGTACTTCTCCAACATCTTCTCAGCTTTCATCCTTATATCCTTCTTTTTTTTTCTCCCAGCAACAAAAGCGACATCTCTCCCAGCTTTTACCCGGCGAACCATTACCCGATGGCGCCACTCTCGTCTCCTACGGCGGCATGGCGTGGCAGAGGCGCAGAGCTCGATTTCTTTTCCCCCGCAACTCTGCCTCCTTGCAGTCGAATAGATCCACAGCGGAGCTGTTCGACAACGGAGCTGTTCGAAAGCGGCATGAAGGTCGGGCTCGACCTCATCACTAACGTGAACCATGCGGGAGACGCCGAGGAAGAAGATACGTCCGAATGAAATGAGTTATACAGTGGGCCGGTTATCAGAAACCGAGACCGGTTCGACGGTTGGGCGGTCGAACCGCCGGTTCGAGCGGTTCAATACCGGTTTTGTGCGAAACCGGTTTTAACATGAACCGTAACCGGCCGGCCGACCGGTTCGCGGTCCAACTGGTTGAACCGGCCGGTCCGGTCCGGTTTTAAAAGCATTGTGATATATATTT